GTGAGGAGCTTGCTAGGTGTGTGTGTCTGTGCGTGCACATGCGCGTGCCTATGCTCACCTGTGCTTATATGTGCGCATGAGTGCCTATGTACCTCTGTGTGCGTGTGAAATACATATGTGTGTGATGTGTCTATGTGTATGGTCAGTTTATGTGCTGCTTGTGTGCGCACGTTATGTGTGATGCATTTATGCATAATCATGGTGTTATACGTTATATATCGGAGAAGAGAGAAGAAGAAAAGAGAAGAGAAAATAACAGTTAAATTAAAGAAGAGAAAGAGAAAAAGGGGGGCAATAATGCACAAAAACAGGATGCTGATTCAATGTAAAACTGCTTTCCTAAGGTGCAATAAAAGCAACTCCAATTATGGAGATAATGTCGTAAGAAGTGATGTGTATAAAGGCAGTGTGCTGAACTGAGAGTAAAGAATTTGCTTTAGGTGAGAGTTAGTAACTTCTCAAGAGCTTCTCATCTTTCTTGAATTTTTAAAGCCTGAATAACATTTTTTTCTTCTTTGATCTTTATCTAATTGTAAGTATGATAGTAGTTCCTTGATTATAATATTATATAATACTATATTAATAGTAATATATAATATTAACATATATATTGCACTATTGTACTATTCCTGCTTTTGGATATGATTCATAATTTAATAATATTATGTTTAAATATTTTAAATTATTATTTGTAACCAACATATTACTTTTATGAAAGGTTTTGTTTAGGAAAATACTCATTATCATGGAATTTTACATTTTTTACTCAATAACAACAAAAAACAAAAAATACATTTTAACTAAATGATAAAAAAATTTCCAGTTATTGACAAAAATCACAAAAATTTATATTGTTAAAATGTAATGAAAGTTAATGTTAATATAGCAGTAGTGTAATCAATACTGAAAAGTGTATTTTTTATTCAGAATTTTTCCAGCCTGAGGTTTTTATCTCGTCCCTGAAGATGTCACGTAAGCAATGTAAGTTTACAGTTAAAGATATTTTACTTAAAGTCACGTTTCAAAGTATTTAACACAAAATAAGGCAAATCAACTTAAATGTAATTAAAAGAAAAAGAAGAAACAATGTTTTCTTTCATGTTACATTCAACAAGAGTAAAATTCAACACTAAAACAAATTTGCACTCAATAATTTCAGTTAATATTCTGAAATATCATTGAATATCTGTTGTATTGATTGTGTGGAATTGTGTACTCTGTGGATTTGGATGTCATACATTTTAAACACTTCTGGTAGCATGAGATGTGTGTGCGTGTGCATGTGTTAAATTAAACCAGTGATGAAATGGTGTGAAATGGTAACATATTGGAACAAGTGCATTAATATTATTATTAATGTGATTAGAGCTGAAGTCAACAGCACTGTGGTGTAAATCAATTGATTTAGTTCAGAAAATAAAAAAAAATATTTTTAAAACACATTCCAGGCCCAGAAGCAAATGGTGTTTTAGGAATGATCGATACCTACGACAGACCAGCAGATTACTACGCTGATGGAGCGTATACTGGCACCGAAGAATACGCATGTGGATTTGAAAACAAACCAGGGAAGCGTATTCCTAAAGCCGGATACATAGCTCATGCTGGTGTAGGACGAGTTGGAGCTGAGTGGAGCATCTTTTCAGTTGGGGCTAAAGGCCCACACGTGTCTGTACAGGCCGAAGCTAACGGGCGGCTGGAAGCAGGAGCCATGGCTCGAGCTGGGATTGGCAGTGCATCAGTTGCAGTTGGTCCAGCTCATATAAAGGTGGGCCTGGGGATTGATACTGGGATTAAAATTAGTCCCACTAAAATAAAGGTAAAGGTGCTTGGGACTGGGGTGACTTTTGGAAGCACAATGGGAATTTCTTTTTTTGGAAGTGAATTTAAAATAAAACTTTTGTGAACATATTAAAATAAAAATCACTGTTCATCTCCTCTTCACATACTGTACGCATCTCTTCCTCTTCACATACGCACAGTCACTTTACTTACCGAGTTTAAATCTCTTCTCAAAACCCACTTATTCACACTGGCTTTTCATACATAACTCAATCTATTAGTTACTTATTTGTATTTTATATTTATTTTCCACTGAAGCTATCGTGTAATTAATTGTATTGTTTGATCTATTCTATTCATGTTTGTTTTGTTTATTTTTGTTTTATCTATTTTGTTCTTTTTTTTTATCTATCTGTTATTGTATTGTTCTATCTTTTGTACTGTGTGTAAAATTATTGCTTTTACCTTGTAAGGCAGCGGTGTCCAAAGTCCGGCCCGCGGCCCAATCACGGCCCTCGGCCAGATTTCATACAGCCCGCAGCTTCGGTCTCATAATGTGTTATTTATGGCCCGCTAGCTCTGTCAGAATAAATAAATACTTTAAAAATGTAATTCCTCCTTTCACCACACGGTTCCGATGCTATCTGGCTCTGCATTAGAGACCTGCACTCCCGCGGGATCCAACGCACCAAGTGCGGCGCGGGACAAGATTTGATGGGTGAATGCGGGTGCGGGCGGTAAGGTCCTCATGTATGTGCGGGTTGCGGGAGAATAGAATTAATCGCGGGACTCCCGCAAAATGGAATTATCTTAAAATTAATTTATTAAAAACAAATACTCTATTATTTATCTACTGCACAAAAGCAAAAAGAACGACTAAATTAAAATAATAATTTACAGGCACAAGGTCGGAAGCTAATTCTCGCGTGGTTCATGCGCGGAACTATAGGCTATATCTATATCCTCGTTCGTGTCCATGTTCATCATTCCATTTAATTAAACTCAAATAAAACGAAACATATTTGTTTGTTTTCTGTTTCTTTTTTATATACACTCAAAAGGGAAGCAAGTGAAACAAATAACAGAGTAGCGGGAAGAAGCGGTAAAAATAAAACTACTAATATGTTTACCTGCGGGATTTTGCGGGCGGGAGCGGGACAAAACTTGAATACTGCGGGCGGGCGCGGGAGAAAATAATATATATTTTTTTGCGGGAGCGGGCGGGAGCGGGACAGAAAAATGCGGTCACTCGCTAAGAAAATGCTGAGCTTATTCGGCTCCACATATTTGTGTGAGCAAACATTCTCAGTCATGAATCTGCACAAGAACCGATTGAGGTCAAGGATGACTGACTCCCACTTACGTGACATTTTACGCATCTCAACCACTGCCCTCAAGCCAGACCTGGTCTCTTTACTGAAATCTAGATCTCAGTATCACCCTTCTCATTAGTATCAGCAAGTTATCTGTTCCTTGTTCAATCTGAAATTGAGTGTTTTTTGAACGGTAACATCTGTCACTATTAACAATGAAAAGCCTAAAGCACAATAATAAACTTAGACTTATGTCACTTATTTTATTAAACTCTAATAAGATTTGGTTATAACTGTTGATGTTATGTTTGGTTACATTGCCATTTAAAAAATAAAGGTAATCGTGACAATGAAAATTGTTTTATAACAGTGTGTATTTTCATGTAACTTTTGTGGTTAAAAAAATGTCAGAAGGAACTAGTGGCCCCCGGACATCTTCACTTTATCAAATTTGGCCCACCTTGCAAAAAGTTTGGACACCCCTGTTGTAAGGTGACCTTGAGAGTTTTGAAAGGCACCCACAAATAAAATATATTATTATTATTTTATTATTATTATCTACATACAAATAAAACAAGAGAAACAGTCATTGTTTGCCTTTATTGTCAATTTTCTAATCAATATAAATAATAAATAAATAAGTGTACAAAAATATACACAGGAATACAAAGACAAGACTCAGCTGAAGACAAAGACTTCAAAAGAGAAGGAGAACTTATGGTGCTGAATAGAGGGAAGTGTGGAGTAAGAGAACCAGTACTGATAGCAACACTGACTTTCTCTTTCTGTTAGTCTCAGTTCATTCACTGGAGTTTAAACAGATGACCATCAGAAGGCTACTGCAGATACATCCTTCAGTATGATTCTGTCAGGGTCAGCTCCTGTTCCACTCTGTGTCCCTTCCCCGTTTGGCCAGCAGGCGGTGCTGGTCATCCTGTCCCTTGTGTTGTCAGTTTTTGTGTCTTCCCCCTGCTCCCTGTCAGCCACATAGCTTGACGCATTGAATGTGTGGCTGCCTGTGCTCCCTTTGTCTTATGTTCGAATCCCACTTTCTCTGCTTTTGTAGATTTTGTTCCCTAGTAGTGCTGGGTATTGGTTAAAATTTCAAGATTTAGAATCGATTATAACGATTCGATCCAATCTGTTCTGATCCGATCCGATATCGATTTGGGTCAGTGTTTTTAAAACAGTTTTTTTTTAGCTGTTACCTTAATTACCTGACTGTGTAGTTGTGCAACATATTAATACTAGTATTATATTGAGATTCAACGACAAATTGAAGTATTGATAGTTAAAGATGGCTGTAAGGACCAATCCCCCTCCCAGAATGTTGATACAATTGCTTTCACAAACATGCTGTTGGGCAGAATTACCGAACAGATCCAGGACGTATTTCTGGAATACTTCACCTCCATTTGGCATGCCTTGAAAATCGCTTTGCTTTTGTCAAGCTCATCTGTCTGTTTGTCCGTTCTGAACCTGAAATGCTGCCAGACCGCAGCTCTTCAAGTTATGGGCGTTTTCAAAGCATCGCTAGTGTGCGACGCCATGTTGTTAATAAAGTTTTCCCCGGTGAACTTTATCATCACCTACTGTCGCGTCATTGAATTCACGATGCGCGTGATTAAAGATATTAACCATTTAACACCTAAGCCTCGAAATGCCCGTCTGGACTTTTTTTCCTATTTTAGCTGTAAAAAGGGCAGAAAATGTTAAATGTCTTTTGAGCACTCAAAGCACTTTGCAGTTATGCCTCATATTCACCCATTCACACAGTGGTGGCAGAGGCTGTCATACAAGGCACCAAACAGCTCACCAGGAGCAATCTGGGGTTCAATGTCTTGCTCAAGGACACTTTGATGGGGTGAAGAGGACCCGGGCCCCGAACCTGCAACCCTCCGGTTGCCAAACAATAGCACTACCTCCTGCACCACCATCGCCCTTTACCTGTTAAAGAGTAAAATCAATCTTTGGACGTACGAATCGATCTTTAGGAATTATTATGAGAATCGATTAAGAATCAGAGAATCGATTTTATCGACACAGCACTATTCCCTAGTGTTTCATTGTACGAGTTTTTATAGTTCCTGTGTCTTCTGATTTGTATTTGGTTTTGGTTAAATTCTTTGTGCTCATGCTTGTGTTTGTTACCTACTGCTTACCTGCCTGATTCCTCTTTGTACATTTAGTCTTTATTTGTCCCCTTTAGTTTTTGAACCCTCGGGGTCCTTTGTTTTGTTAGTGTTTTCTTGTGTTTTTAGTTCATTTAATAAACCCTGTTTTTTGGCTTGTGAGCTGCAAGTGGGTCGTCCACCTTTGTGCCTGCACCATGCCACGTCCCCGCTCCAAACCTGCCCGAGTTCATGACATTTTGTGACACGAAAGGGTGAATAAACACGTGTGTATATATAATTCTTATTTTCTTTACTTAAGCCAAATTCATGTGCATGAGTATCAAGGACTACATCACAGTTAACAACAACTGCAATTTTACCAATACAATCACACATACACATACAATGAGCATGAGTAAACTTGCATACGTTCTCTTATCTGCATAAGTGGAAAAGTGCCCTCCGACTACTGGGGTTGGAAAGTACCTTGATCTCTCATTTTTGTTGCGTTCTGTGTGTCAGTTTCGGTTTTAAGTTTCTCATCAGGACATGCCACAAAATGCGATCAGTACGCGGAGTTATATGGCTTCCTGTGGATGTAAATGTAAATGTAATGTGTGAAGGCGTGAAATAACGTGTGAATTACTGCCATCTTTGTAGGCGTGAAATATTGTGGTGTGAATTATTGCTGTCTTTACACGTACATCTGTTACGTCTGTAGGTGTGAAATAATGCACAAATGTCTTAAATTAGGAAGAAAAAGCAGAAAACAAAATGAAAATGCGCTGCAAATTAAAAAAAACACAAACAAAAGAAAAAGCAGAAACAAAATGAAAATGCGCTGCAATTGAAAAAAGACACACAAAAGAATTCCATTGCATTTTCATTTTGTTTTTGCTTTTTCTTTTGTTTGTGTTTTTTTTTAATTTGCAGCGCATTTTCATTTTGTTTCTGCTTTTTCTTTTGTTTGTATTTATTTTTAATTTGCAGCGCATCTTCATTTTGTTTCTGCTTTTTCTTTTGTTTGTGTTTTGTCTCTAGGGGCCACCGTAAGTATTTCTTTATTATGTTAATATAAAAATATAGGCCTATAATTTGTTTTTAAAATATTTGCAAGCATATTGTGCATGAGTTTAAGTGACTGAACCACAGGTATAATAATAACAATAATAAGACTGCTGCCCCCGCGCTATTAGCTATGGCAACTAGCCAGCGAGAGCGGCCGCCTCCTTCAGGGGATGACTCCGCTCACGGGCGCGCACGTCATTGCCGACGTGTGCGAAAATCTTCGGCAGCTCGTCGGACGGGTGACAGAGAGGCGACTCCAACCGTTCACCTTCTCGGAGGCAATCCCGCCTCCACCAACCTGCCCCAGCCTAAGAAAGAAGAGGAGACGCAAGGGAAAAGGAAGCGAAGAAGCCCCGACGATCTTCTTGGGGGCTTGCTCTCTTCGCCCCGCTTTCATCCCTGCCAGTGGGCACGGGGACTTCCCGATCATCCGGGAAGTGGCTCCCGCTGATGAGCAGCTGCCACCTTTGGAGGCGTACAACTTTCGAGCAGCACGCCTGGGCCAAGGAGGGATACGCGTGGTAAGGGACGCCATTCCCCGGGTCTCCAAGGCCCTTAAACGGGCAACGTCTATTCGCCCGGCATTAACCCTGACGCCTATTCCTGAGCTGCCCGGGGTACCTGAGCTGCCCAACGAGGCTCCGTCTGCGGCGCCTTCTGCTGGTTCCATGCCCGCGGCGCCACCTGCTGCCGCCGCTCGGCCCGCGGCCCTGCCTGATGTCGCCGCTCGGCCCGCGGCCCTACCTGAGGCCGCCGCTCTGCCCGCGGCACCGCTGTCTGCCGCCACTCTGCCTGCTGACCTCCCGCCTGCTGCCGCCA